GACTCATATAAGATCGGGTAACAGTGGCAGAACATAGGAATGAGCAACCACCTCGTGGCACACCGTCATCGAGCACAAAATTGCTCGGTGATTGGCAAATATATTGTCGGAACGGGGAGTGAATTGCAAGCAAAATGTTCCATTACCAATATTTTTATATAAAACAAACATGTGTAAAAATGTAACCTAACTCGACCAATCTAACCAAACTTATTTAGATATAGTGAAAAATTAGATTAGGGTAGGCCAAGTTTTCTCCATATTTATCGGCTAAAATGTTAGGAAATTAATTCAAAAATTAGTGGAAAAGGAGACGAAAGCTGTGCCTCTAAATGTAAGAGAAGAAATGGATGTTACTTTAAAGGCAGTACTGGACAGGTTGAATACAGAACTGAAAGATCGATTTACAAGTTAGTTACATTGCAATTAGGGTTCCTCTTGGATATTGAAAGCTTCATTGACTCCTAAAATTTCCTTCTTTTTATTTACTTTAATATCCTTTTTATGACTGCCCGCAAATACTTATTTCATTAACGGCGCGTCATGAATTATTTTGGCGACAGTGCTCAGTATTCTTCGATCATGCGCAGTGCGGACGGAAGTGCATGCCGGCTAAAACGTGAAATGTGTTAAAGAAACAACAAAAAGTATTGTTTAATTCTGTTCTCCCTCGGTTGAGGCCAGATTGAAAACTAATCCATATTAATGTTTTAAGATGTATTCCTGGGATTGAATAATGGTAATTTTCTCCTCGACTCAAATGGTAGATCATAATATTTCAATGCATCTATAAAATGTTTAGACATAATGATCTTATTGTAACTCAGTGTTGGATATAACGTGCAGTATATTCCCATATAGAGTGTTTTGATGCGAAAAGATTCACGAGTTTTATGGCACAATTTTGGTTGTCATTAGCGATGGCAAAAGATTTGCAGGGTGTTTTTTGTAACCTTATGTAGTACAATATTATTATTATTATTATACTACGCCGAAAAACTCACTGAACGTCTTTGAAGTTTATTCCGGAAAACCATGCTGAGAATATTATTAGGGGAAAACCCGCTGAGAATACAGGAAAAATACTTTATTGCAAAGTATATATGTATTCGGCTGACAAGTTACGACAGATTCTGAAGCAAAGCAAACAGTTTTATTGAATGATTACGATCAGCCTTCATCTTCGTTTCGTTGCCAATAGGAGGAACATGCACAATATGATGAAACTAAGTATGCAGTATTAACCGAGAAAGATGTCGATTGCTTAAATTTGTATATAAATTGCGATAAACCACAAACTTCTGATGATCTACGTGTACAAATGGTGAAGATGGGCGCTAAAGCTTCTTCTGAACAAAGACGACCTTTTCAAAATCACAAAAGATCGGGAAGTTATTAAGAGCTGACGTGTCAAAGAAGCGATGAGAAGTGAAACGAACACAAAACATGTGGGTGTCAACCGCAGATTCACGAATTATTGGTCCTAAAGAAAACTACAGGGTGGGCCTACGATTACGCGTAATTGGTTGTTGTACTCTATTAAAGTCAGTTAGATATATGCCATGCGTGATACACGCATAGGCAATTTTTTCCTAGTCTGATAATAGCCAAAATGTAAAGTAAACACTAAATAGTAACAGTCAATCAGTTATATGCCATGCGTGATACACGCTTAGGCGATCATGTATCTTTCGGTACATGACTGACGAGGCAGATTTTTTTCACGCAGTAAGTTGCTATTTTTTTCTGCGGTAGACCAGTTTTCATCAAAGGCTATAGAACCCGGTCTGTCCCGCTATTTACCCATAGTTGGGGGGAAAAGAAGAGGATTCATACCTTTCTTAAGGGTATTAGCACGTAAATGAACGTAATGGCTTCAACTGGAATATGTAATGACTCAGTCAGTTATTTGCCATGCGTGATACACGTTTAGGCGATCATGTATCTTTCGGTACATGACTGACGAGGCAGATTTTTTTCACGCAGTAAGTTGCCATTTTTTTCTGCGCTAGACCAATTGTCATCCAAGGCTATAGAACCTGGTCTGTCTCACTATTTACCCATAGTTAGGGGGAGAAGAAGAGGATTCATACCTTTCTTAAGGGTATTAGCACGTAAGTGAATGCAATGGATTCGACTGGAATTCGAACTCGGCTCTCCGATTCCTCGATCCGAGCCGTTATCCATTACTATGCACGGTACTGGGTGGCAACTGGTCTTCCGCAGAAATAAATGGCAAACTACTGCGGAAAAATCTGCCTCGTCAGTCATGTATCGAAAGATACATGATCGTACAAGCGTGTATCACGCATGGCACATAATTAACTCACTGACTCTATTAAAAATAATGCAGCGTATTGTTTTTGTCGTTTATTGTTTTCAACAGGCCCCGTCAACCAAAGTACAGTATTCGAAAAAATCTTGTGGATTTCAAAAATGGCAAAAATGCAACGAAAGAATACCAGAACATGGACAGGGCACTCATTACTGTGCGTCATTTCTTGCATGGAAAGACTTTGAAAGAGACATATCAGAAAGGGTCTAAGATTGACAGAGTAATACTAAAGCATATAGAAGAACAGAAGTAATTGTGCAAGGATCCTCTCACGCATTTTATGGATCGTATCAAATTTTTGGCGATTCAACATTTGTCATTCTGTGGACACCTAGAAGTCATTTCATCAAGTAATAATCTTGGTAATTTTGTTTTGCACTCGTTAAAATACTTAACAAGTACGACCCTCTGTTGCAGATGTCAAGTCGCATCCATATTCTGCAATATTTTTGTCTGACAAGATACAGAATGAGTTCATTGAGATGCTGGGTAACGAAGTACGTCAGTCTATCCTACAAAGAATCAAAAGAAGCAGATTCTATGGGATTATGTTCGACACTACTTCAAAATTTGAACGAAGTGTTCTTGATTTGAACGATTGTCGTGAACAGACGTATGACAATGCTGCAACAATGGCTTGGAAAGTTTTCAGTGTCCAGAAACGAATATCACAGAGAAACACAAAAGCAATCTTTGTGAATTATAACAATCATTCTTTGAAACTCGTAGGAATGCTTGTAGCATCAGAACATGTCTTTGCTACATCATCTTTGTAGTCCTTGATTCATTGTACAATTTTTCTCCAGCTCAAATTTGCGCTGGTTGAAACTGAAGGTGACAGTAGAGACGGCTGTAAAGCGGCCTTCCTGATACAAGATGGAATGTTACGCGCGATGCTATTCACGTTGTAAAAAAATTAGATGATATAGCTAAATTGTTGGAGGATATGGTAAGTGATATTTCAGTATGAGTCGACACAAGAAGCGACGCCAGCTGCTTGCTGCACAATATGCAAACTTTTAGTTTTCTAACTATGCTGCCGTTCTGAGACGACGTCCTGACTTTCATTGACCGAGTACAGTAGAGACTTCAGTGGCTTAAGATATGCTTCAATGAAGCTCGAGATGACATTCAAAGTCTTCAACAATCTGTTATGAGTGAACGGGAGTCTCTTTAAAAAAATCAATTGCAAAGGGCGAGGCAAAAAGATTAGAATGAGGTACTGACTTTGATCAACAGAGAAGGGTGCATCGTAAAATGAAAATGGCTGGAAAGGAGACGAAAGCTGAGCCTCTAAATGTAAGAGAAGAAATGGATGTTACTTTGAAGGCAGTACTGAACAGGTTGAATACAGAACTGAAAGATCGATTTACAAGTTAGTTACATTGCAATTAGGGTTCCTCTTGGATATTGAAAGCTTCATTGACTCGAACGAAGAAAAATGCAAAGTAGCTACTTCAGAATACGAGGGTGATTTTGTTGAAATAGAACTGTTGCGAAATTACAGACTGCCGAGAAAGAAAAGACAGTGCTTTCGTTAAGCAAAAAAAAACAAAAAACAATCGAGCTTTTCACAATATCTTACGGCGATGTTACGTTCCACAATTTACAAATAGCATTGTGCATACTGTTGGCTCTTGCCGTCTCTGTGGCGTCCTATGAGCGCTCTTTCAGCAAACTAAAATTAAAAAAAAACTATCTCCGAAGCACAATGGGCCATAAACGCCTGAGCAATTTGGCTTTATTAAGCATCGAGAATGAAGAATTTGGACATATAAATGTAGATGGTGTTATTGACAAATTTTTGACCACCGATCCTTGTCGTATGTCTCGATGCTTACGAATTCAAACAGATAAAATGAATTGCTCTAGTCTTCTTTTAATGTAGGTTTTGTCAATGGATAGTGGTTGGTCTTCGCGAATCAAATAAAAATGTATTTGAATTGTATTTTAAATACATTGTCAGAGCATGTGTATTTATGTGAAAAAGCATTTATAATTAAGATTTTTGCCGAGTTTCAGTTTTGTTTTTTGTATTTTTTGAATCTGGAAGAAAATTACTTATATATATATATATATATATATATATATATATATATATATATATATATATATATATATATATATATGTATTTGAATTTTTTTAAAATTGTATTTGATCCCTCACGGCTTGTTCACCATTGATTGTGGTAGGAAGCCCATAGTAGAGTTCTTCCTTCCCACCCCCTGGACGAAGATCTCGCCACGCCACTGCCGGGTAAATAATGAAATAAGGTGTAATGAAGTTGAAAACATTTGTAAAAAGGACAGATAGAGGCGACGGCGCGTCTGTGAGAGAGTGACTGTGGTCGAGATGCCAGAATATATATATATATATATATATATATATATATATATATATATATATGTTTATTATATATATATATACAACTATTTATTCGTTATTTTATGTTTAAACTATTTAATTAATTTACCGGTTTAAAAACAGTATTAACTACATTTACATTATATATAAAATATTATATATATATATCCATATATATATATATATATATATATATATATGTGTGTGTGTGTGTGTGTGTGTAATTTTGGTAAATATATCAGTTCATTTATGTGTAATTTAGACAACAGTTTATCTAACGCACCCTGTATATGCCAAAAC